TGGAGTGAGTCCACTCAGGATAAAATCCCGTGCTGTCCCTGTAGATTCACAACAACTGCCTCAGCTGCTATTTCTCCATGAAGCCCCTACTACTCACGTTGCATGCAGAATCAGACTGCCCTCTGCACAAGCTGGGAGCCAGTAAGAGGGTCCAGATTTTGGTTTCCTTCTCTATGCTATAGTCCACCTCTTAAAGTTCTCTGTAGCTTCTAATTTTCTTGTCCATTCCCTTCTAATTCTCAGCAACCTACTTCTTTTTTCCTTCCTTAAGCTGTTATTTTTCAGTTTTGGATTCCAGAAAAGTGTATTTTTGGTAAGAAACTGTTAAATGTCTTCCAGAATGACTGTGTTTATCTTCATGCCAACAACGAATGAGAGCTGTGTTCTACAATCTTGCCAACATTTAGCACTGTTAATTTTCTGGGTTTGAGACATTCTCATATGTGTATACTGGTTATCTCCTTATTTAATTTGCATTTCCCTATAAATGATGAGTCTGCACATACGCTTATCTGCTACACCCCTGGCCCCTTATCTGACATCTGTGTATCTTATTGGTGAGGTCTCTGTTAAGGTCTTGTGTGTGTGTGTAACCCAGAACAAATCCGTGTCCCCCTTTTTAACTGGGTGTTTTGTTTTGTTTGTTGAGTTTTAATTTTTCCTTTTTAGCTTCTCCTAATTTCTAGAAATATTTCTGGAGTGGGCAGGATCTCCTGTTAAACATGAGAGAAGTGTGTATATTCTGTAACGCTTAAATTTGGCTCCTACGTGATTCACTTTTTTTGTGCAGGCTCTCACCAATGACTTTTCTATTCTCTTTTTAAATAACTTTTTTTGTGAAGTAGATTAGTAATGCAAACAAGGGATTCATAATTCTAATTCTTTAGAAGGCCCCACATGTCCTCTTGGATCACAGTGCCTTTACTTCACCATAGAGGTAATCAGTACAGTATTTTGATTTTGTATTAATAATTATTCTCTCTCTTTCTTTCTTTCTTTCTTACTGGCATTGCTGGTTTCATTGTCTCTTTCTAGGATATCCTTGAGAATTTTTTGGAGTGCTGCTTTGTAGATCATGAATTTCTTGAGGTATGCTTTGTCATGGAAATACCTTAATTTTCCACCAATTTTGAAGGAAAGTTTTTGCAGGATATGTAAGAATGGGTTGGAAGTTGTTATCTTTTAGGGCTTGAAACACTTCACTCCAAGTTCTCCTGCCTTTAAGGTTTGTGTTGAGAAGTCTCCTGTAATTTGGATGTATTTACCATTATAAGTGATTCACTGCTTTTGGAAGTATGGCCACTTGATTGCATTGCATTGGTTCTCCCTTGTTCTTGGATAGACAAAACCAATACAGTAAAAATGGCCATAATGCCAGAACTACTATACAGATTTAATTCAATTCCAATCAAAATACCAATAGCATTCCTCATAAAACTAGAGAAAACGATCCTAAAGTTCATTTGGAACCAGAAGAGACCCAGAATAGCAAAAGGAATCCTGAGCAACAGGAGCAAAGTGGGAAGCATCACAATCTTAGACTTCAATTATACTACAAAGCTAGTGATAAAAACAGCATGGTACTGGTACGTACAAACACACACACACAAACACACACACCAGAAATGTGGATCAGTGGAACTGAGTAGAGGATGTAGAAATAATTCCAGGTGCATTCAGCTACCCAATCTTTGACAAGGAGGTCAAAGACTTATGCCCGGAGGATAGCCTGTTTAACAAATGGTGCTGAGAAAACTGGCTATCCACATGCAGAAGATTAAATTTAGGCCCATGTCTCTCACCATGTACTAAACTAAAATAAAAATGGAACAAAGATCTAAATTTTAAAACAGAAATACTTAATCTGCTGAAAGATAAAATATATAAAACTCTTGAAGACATAGATGTAAGTAAGGACTTTCTGAACAGAACCCAAATGGCACAAAAAATAATACCAAGAATCAACAAATGGGATAATATCAAATTAAAAAGCTCTGCACAGCAAAGGAAACCACCAACAGAGTGAAGAGACAACCTACAGAATGTAAAAAAACCTGCTAGCTATTAATCGAATAGAAGACTAACATCTAGAATATATTATAAAGAACTCAAAAAAATTAGGACCCCCCCCCAAAAAAAAACCCAATCAAAATATGGGCAATTAAAATGAATAGACATGTCTCAGAAGTACCAATGGCCAATACATGAAAAAATGTTCAACATCACTATTAGAGAAATGCAAATTAAAACAACAGTGAGATTCCATCTTACTCCAGTAAGAATGATTTTATCAAGAAATCAAATAATACCAAATGCTGGCAAGTCTGCAGAGGGGGAAGAAGAACCCTTCCCCCTTGCTGGTGGGAATGTAAACTAGTATAACCACTACGGAAATCAGTATGGAGATTCCTCAAAAAACTAAAACTAGAAATTCCACTTGACTGGGCTATTCTCCTTCTAGGTATCTTCCTGAAAGAGTTAAAGACATCATATTACAGTGACACATGTACATTGGTGTTCAAAGCAGAACAATTCACAATAGCTAAATATCTGAAGCAGCCTATATGCCCATGAACAGATGACATGTGGTATTTATATACAACAGAGTACTACTCTGCCATAAAGAAGGACAAACTTGAATCATTTGTAGGAAAACAGTGTGCTTTAAGACCATAAAATTAAGTGAAATAAACCAGACACACAAGCTTAAATATTACATGGTTTCTCATATATATAAAGAGCAAAATAACATAATAGAAAAAAAGAAATTTCCTTGAGAAGTTTTTAGTTTATTAATCAAAACACTGTGATTTTATTTCTTCATTTTGTGATGCTTGTAGTATTTGACAGCTTTTAAAGTCTATAAGCTTTAGACTTCATTAACCAAGGTTCTCTCCTCATTCATGATATCACTTTGTACGTTTGTCAAGTAAATAAATCTTTGGATATGAAAAAAATTTTTTTAAATTATACATACATATATGTATACATATACACACATATATGTTTATATTCTGCTGGGCCTAGTAATACATGCCTGTAATCCCAGCTTCTCGGAAAGCTGAAGCAAGAGGATGGTGAATCTGTGGCCAATCTGGGCAACTTAAAGAGATCCCATCTCAAAAAAAAAAAAGTAAGAGATGATAGTGTAGCTCAGTGATAGAGCACTTGCCTAGCATGTATGAGGCCATGGGTAAAATTCCCAATGAGGCAAGGATGAGCAGGTGCAGACACACTCCTACTATAGGATCTAGCAATTGCACTCCTCACAGAAGCTGGAAACTTATGTCCCCACAATAAGCTCTACATGTATGTTTATAGCAGTACTATCCATGGAAGCGACCAAGATTTCCTTCACTAGGTGAATAAACTGTGGCACATTCAGACAATGGAATATTGCTCAGTCCAAAAAGAAATGGGCTATTAAGCTATGAAAAGACATGGAGGAACCTTAAAATTATGTTACTAAGTGAAGAAGCCAGTCTCAACTGGCAGCATACTGTATGAGTATTATAACTACATGACATCATGGAAAAAGTGAAATTACAAGAAATTGAAAAAAGATCAATGGTTTTAAGGGGTTGAGGGAAAAGAAGATAAACAGGCAGAGCACAGTATTTCTAGATCTGAAAATAGCACATATGATACTATAATGGTGGATTACATGTTATTACATAATTTTCCAAGCCCACAAAATGCTCAGCACCAATAGTGAACCCTGATATACACTATGGACTTTGGGTGATGATCATGTCAATGTAGGCTCATCAACCGTCATCTATACCCCACAAGTGGGATACTGATACTGCAAGAGGCTGCACACGTGTGATAGGAGAGAGTATACAGGAAATCTCTGCATCTTCCTCTCAATTTTCCTGTGAATATAAAACTGCACCCAATAAATAAAACTTTTAACTTAAAAAAAAAAAAAAGGCTGGGGATTTAGCTCAGTGGTTCTGTCGCCCGCCTCGAAAGCCCAAGGTCCTGAGTTCAATCCCCGGTACCAAATATATATATATTAAAAGCACACCCCCAAAAGGTCTTTGAGCTAACGTCTATATCTTGGCCTTTTCCTAAACAGGCAAACCTTCAACTGCTGTGTTTAAGTCTTTCCTTAGCTGGTCTTTAAACTTAGAGTCGTTCTAGTTATGTTCAGCAAACAACTTCAGCTTTTCTTTATTCACCATAAGAACCAGCAGTTTAATATTAGCACTAACCTCTGTCCTAGAAAAGAAAGCAGCAAAATGACTGGATGAGCCATGCACATTGAAAGTGACTGAGTTTCTGAAATGCTTCCATTTAACCTGATCTACACATTTTGCATTACATGTGAAGCCACTTTGGAATGAAAGCACTTACGGATATATATGACACATCCCCCTCCTTTTCCTCAAGCAAGTGAACATCACTAATTACCAAAGAGGCTTCCAAAGCAAGCACAGGGGATATAGACAAGTCTCCACTGAGAAATACGGCACTTACCCGAGATGAAGAAATCAGAACCCAGTAAGGAGTTTTTTAAATGCTTCTTCATTTGTACCTTTTCTTAAAACTGACACTTTCTTCAATTTCCCTTCAGGAAGTTGAGGGTGAAGCCCCACTAGGCCAACCCCACTTACAGCCCCAGATTTGCTTTTCACCTCAGTCTCTATTCTTTCCTTCTCCCACATCACTGCCCACCCCGAGCAAAGCTCATCAGACTGCCTGAAACCTCAGCGGTCTTCTGGTCCAGACCCCCAGGAGACGGGACCCCGGAAGCCGCCCCTCCTCCAGCCTCGCCGTAAGGACCCGACCCCCAGGCCAGCACCACGCGTCCCTGCGTCCATTCCCGCAACGCCAGCGCCCCGCATATAGGGCCCCTTTGCCCAGAGGCCCCCTCCACAGGCACCCCACACCTGTGGACCTGGCCTCTCGGCCCAAGCCCACCAGCCTCTGCCCGTTCAGCAGAGAGCGTTAGGCCCCGGCGCAGACCCTTCCCCTTTGGCGCCCCTTCTCCTCACCGTGTCCAACCCGGAGCTTTCTTCCTGGGCCCCCTCGGCTTTCTCACCGACTGCAGCCTCCAGTTCGCCGTCGGCGTAGCCCAGCGGCTCCAGGGGGGCAGGCTGCAACTGCCCCTCGAGGTCGGAAGAGGCCTGCTCCATAGCTGCAGCTTGGCGCGGCGAGCCCAGTGCGCCTGCGCCCGCCCCGCCCCTCCGCGGCCGCCTCGCCCCTCACCCGTGTCGCCCCGCCCCTCCGCCCTGCGGCGCAGACCAGAGCCGAAGTGGAACTGGCGTCTCAGCGGGAGGTGGTTCTGCAGGGCACTGGTCAGCTGCTAAGCCAAGAGACCTAGGAACCTGGGAGAAATGGTGGAGAGAATAAGACAGGAAAGGGGAAGGTGAACACAAGATCTGAGTGTGGGAAGCGTTCAGGTTGGTTATCACCTACAAAAGGAAAATGCAACACTCCAGAAAGCTGAGGCCTGAGCTTCTCCCTTGGCCTCTGCCATGCCTACCATTAATGGTTCCGTTTTCTCTGGAAAGAACAGAGCGCCATAAGTTATTGACTTTCAACAAGTTGAGTAACACATGCAGAAAAACTTAATACCTGCAAGGTTTTGAAGGAAGTGAAACGTTTGGGCTCGAGTCCCATTGTAAGTGTTTAAACCCTAGGGCCTGGGATTTAGCTCAGTGGTTCCGCCACCTGCCTCGAAAGCACAGGGTCCGGAGTTTGATCCCCGGTATAAATAAATAAATAAACTCTAAACACTGCAGCCCTGGAGATCTGGTAGTAAGCTTCTACAGACATCTCTCGTTCGATTTTCTAACTCTGCATCTGTGATGGTAACCTGATGGGTAATATTCAGCCTAGCCCAGTAATCTTTGTACAGTCAGGCCCCACTGTTTCAAGGACAGAAACTGATCTCTCTGCCTAAACAGCAATTTCAAGTTGCAACACCATTTCCCTCCTGCAGTGCTCACTCCTTGTATTTGTCAGTGTTCACTGTTAGACCCAGCGAGAAAGAACCAACCAGAGACCAATATTAAATCCAGACAGGAGTTTATTACCGGCCGGGACCCGAGCTGAGCATCGGACTCCAGCCCTGACTGGGGGGAGACAAACATATTTTATAAACCTTTGAGGCCAATAGTTTCTAGGCTCCCCTATGGGATAGAACTAGCAAAGCAAGGAAAGGTACAGAAGCGCCACGTCCTGCTGTTAGAACATTTGTAAAACAATAGTTGATTAATTGTTATTTCTAAAGGGACTTTCTAAGGGGAGGAGGTTTCTAAGCTTCCCCCTTCTGAGTTCATCTAAAGGACAGGCAGGTGGGTCAAGCAGCAATATGGAGTCTGTCTTGCTAACTAGGGTCCTTGATTCACCAGAGGAACAAATAATGGTGCCCGACATATAAGGATTTACAAGACAGGCTTGCAATAGCCCCCCGCAGAGTCTGGTGTGGAAGAGTTCAGAAGGACCCTCTGCATGCTGGAGATGCAAAGGATAAAGTCAAAGGTTGAAGACCTGTAGCTCACTGTAAAGTCCCATGCAGTCCGTATCAGGAGGCCGAAGGGTCTGAGCTGGAAGGCTGAAGAGTTTGCACTGGAAGCCTGGAGACAGACATGCAAAGGCAATGGTGAAGACTGGAGCTCCTCTGAAGAAGCAGAAGCCAGACTGGCTTCTTCTTTCCCTTTTTATTCCCTCAAGACTACAAGCCTATTGGTTGGTGGGTGGGTCTACACCCAGGTTGGGTCTTCCCTCTTCAGTAAGTCCCTCATTCAGACACACCCAGAACTGTGCTAAACCAATCACCTGGGCATTACAGTTATCCCTCTCCCCCTCCCATTCACTCTTCTATGGTGAATTTCTACATATCCCCACTTATCCCAAAAACTTCTACTCAGTTATCACCCCATGTGCTAATATCACTTTGTGAACCCAGTGAGCCTTCTCATAGAACTGCATCTCCAACCCTTTTGTATTTTTTTTTTTTTTAAGGATCTTGCTAAGTCACTAAGTGGCCCAGGCTGGGCTCTAACTTGTAGTCTTCTTACCTCAGTGTCCCAGAGTGCTGGGATTATAGGCATGCACCACCAAGCTGGGCTAACTTTAGACTCTTTTTTTTTTTTTTAATTCTTTTATTGCACATTGTAGGTATACAACACAATTACATTTCTCATTAGGAATTGTACCTTTACATGATGCATCTTGGTTCTTATTTTTTCCCCATTCCTAGCCCTCCCTTCACCCCCTCCACCCTTCCCTATTTACAAAGCCTTTATTTCCGTTTTTTCCATTTCTCATCATTTTTCCTTTCCCTTCCTTCCTTTCTCCTGCCCCTCCCACTAGCCCTACCCCTTTGGACCTTTTCTTCCTATTTTGCATTATCCATTATTCATTCTAATCATTGATACATTTTAGGTATACAATATAATGACATTCATCATATAAGGCACAGAACCCTAACACTTCTCCCTCTTTCCCTCCTTTCTTTCCCTGTCTCTTCATCTCCCTCTCTTGCCCTCTCCCTCTTCTCCCTTCACCTCTCCTTTTCTAAGCCTAGGACATTTACCCAAACGTAGGCGTTTTATCCATTTATGAGGAATTAGTCATGTCAGGCAAGCCCATGGAAAACATGGTTTTAAATCAGAAGACTATATTCATTTATCACAAGAGGGACATCTTTCTAGAGACAGATTCATTACTCTATCCTTTTTTTTTCCAGCTTTGTGATACCCTGGAAACCAGACCCTGGAGTCAAACAGGTAACTCCTGTGGGCTGGTAATTTAAGTGTCTTACCCTGGTTGGGTACAGTGGCACACACCTGTAGTCTCAGCTACTTGGGAGCACCTCCAGATCCCAGGAGGATGAGGGATGAGGGTGCAAATTCCAGGCCGTCTGGGCAGCCTAGAGAAACATTGTCTCAAGTAAATAAATAAATGAAACGGTCGGGGGATGAAGCTCAGTGGTAGAGTACTGGGGGGAGGGAAGGGGATAGCTCACTCTTCAGTGAGTGTAAATAATGGAAAGGGTCTGCTGGTTTGTTTTGTTTTGTTTTTAAGAAAAAAAATGAAGACTAGGTAGGAACTTGAGTTTTCTGCTCATGCATATCTCCTTTTTCATATGTGTGTGTTAAAAAATCCCTTGTAAGGTTGCCTTTGATAACCCATTTTAAGTTGTTCACCTGGATGTCACATTATCCCTGTATCTGTGTGTGTGTGTGTGTGTGTGTGTGTGATGCTGGGGATTGAACCCAGAGCCTATTACAGCCTTAAAAGAGGCCTTGAAAAAAGCAAATTTGAAAAATCAAAAGGAACTGTGAAATGTCACCCTCTGTGGGGACATATTCACCATGTTAGCCAGCAGAAGGAACTTTAGTCACTTGCATCTGAATAGCATGTTTTAGATTTCAAATCTGTCATTAACAAATATCTCTTGAGTTCCTGTGTTCACTTGGGAACCCTATGAATTATCTAGTCTCTGCTCCTCATTACCCAGTTTCTCTTCTTCTCCTCCCCAGGATTTTCCTACTATTGTCTGGCCAGCCACCTAGGTACTACAATGGTCACCTTCCGTTTCCTCTGAAACTACACCCTTCTCTTCTCTCCTTCACCAGCAGGTGATGCCACTCCCCCACTCCATCCCTCTTTTTTGTGTCAGTGTGAATGACATTGGCCCTTGTTCATAGCACAAGATCTAACCTCCCCTTCCTGTCACCACTATATTCTTGGGGGGGGGGGGGTGGTACCAGAGATCAAACTCGGAACTTTGCGCTTGTGAGCCAGGCAGCAGAACCACTGAGCTAAATACCCAGCCCCACCACCATATTCTTTTTGGGCAAATTCTCCATTGTGTGCAGGAGAGCCAGTCTTAGTATATGCCTTCAACCGCACCCTCCTCTCGCAGGAGCTGAACCACATTGGCACAGATTATTCACACTTTCTTTGTTTGTTTGTTTTTGTTGTTGTTTTTTTGTTTTTTGTGGGGTTTTTTGGTACTGGGAAATTGAACTCGGGTCCTTACGCTTGCAGGGCAGGTGGCAGAACCACTGAGCTAAATCCCCGGCCCAATTTGTACTTTTGCTTGAACCTTGCATCACAGGGGATGCTAGACCTCAGGCCAGTGATAGTGCTAGGACCAGATTGTCCCCAAGCCATGAATTCCTGGGGAATTGTGTACCAAAGAGACACTGCTCTGGGAAGGCTAAAACAGAACACACTTGGGGGAAACTAGACTACAGGTCATAGTGTTGCTGCCAGAACAAAATCCAACTATGTTTGTTTACACTAAACAAAGAGAGTAGTAGGAGAATCTGATACATAGTCACCATTTGTTTCAGATAAGGTAAGGCCTTTAGACTCACACAGGACTGTAGTGCAGGCAGCAGTGCTTTATACTATGACCTGCAGAAACAGGAGGCGCTGAGTACCATGAATGGGGCTACACGGGACCACATTGGGGACAGTCAGGAAGCAGGAGATCAAAGGGAAATGTGGAGAAGAGCAAATAACCGTGGTGTGGTGGTGGATTCCTGTAAACCCAGCTACTCTGGAGGCTGAAGCAGGAAAGTTACAATTCAAGCCCTGCCTGAGCAACTTAGCAATTTAACAAGACACTGTCTCAAAATATAAAAATAGAAAGGGCTGGAGATACAGGTCAGTGGGAAAATTCTGGGTTCAACCTCCAGCCAGTAAAAAAAAAAAAAAAAAAAGTGGCACAATTACAACACTTGCTCTGCTTGACACTTGTCTACTAATTCTTCTGTGTCTGTATCTCTATTCACATCAGCAGAACTAAGAGCAGAGCCAGACCTTATTCCCCTTATCTCCCCAGTAGGTGTTCAGCACACGTTCACTGAACTAGTGAATTAATGTTTGTGGTGGGAGTCGGAGGGATTACATATAAAACAAAATAAACAAGCAAATAATAACAATATGCCAGATAGACAAGGGAGCCATCTCCCTGGCCTCCTGCCTGCTTTAGGTCTTCCCGTGCCAACCAGGCCAAAGGAAAGCCTTTCCCCATCCCTCCTTTGCATCCATCTCCCCATGCCTGGATTCTCTCCAGAACTGCAAGGAAGGAAATAGGTAATGATGGATACAGGGCAGTGGTCGCCCATGCTGTCTCCTAGCATCCTCTCCCCTAGCCCCTTGCCCATGGGCTTAGTCCCACTGGGACCCCAGCTTGATACCAGGCACATATCATTTCC